AAGAATGGCACAACTCTTGTATATATCTTAAAATTAACATAATTATTGCTCATTTGCATCCATTACCTACTAAATACCATGCAACAGATAAACCAAATTCTATGTGTTATCATTCATTTTTACAAATGCTAACCCACTTATTCTAACTGGCACAGTCAATACTGCACTAAAAATGTCTATTTGAGGGTGACTATTAACAATCGTGTTTAACACTGAAAAAACGTATTATGTATTTTATAGAAAAAAGTCAACTAATCAAATTGAACTAAGAATGAACAATACTGTACTGAAATTGTGAGCAAAGTTCATGGGAAATTCCTTGATGTTCACAATGATCACAAACTGAATATCAATTGTCATATGCAAAATGTAACAAAACAGTTTAGAAAACAGTTGGCATTCTCTATAAAAAGCAGTACTATGTACCTTGTTCTGCCTTAGTAATGCTTTATTTATCTGTATCTCATGGTATCTGTACCTGGGAATCTACAACCCAAAATTACCTATGACCCATTATTTCTTAACGTAAATCAACACTTACAATAGTGACAAACTTTAATCCCATACAACATTCATCACCCTTGCTGAAATCTTTGAATATGTTAAATATCAAGTCACTTCACACACTCAAATGTAATGGAATAATTGTGGCATTAATTTGATGGCAGTACTCTTAAGTGAATGACTAATTATGCATGAAGTATGAATTATCTACAGTAACTCTTGCAATTATTTTAAAAATAATACTTATTGTGTAATTATAATTATTGCACTTATTCCATTACATTTTTTCAAAGATATTTTGACCTAATAGTTTGGTAATTAGAATTGATTGCTTTTGGATTTTTTCTTAGGTTTGGTCACATAGATAGAAAGCATGTCTACTTGATTAATGTCCAGTGAATGCTTTCTTAATGAACACACTTTAGAAACTCAGTACATGCAAAGAGAATTGGTTTTCTTATTGAATGTAAGTGTTCATTCTGAATCTTTGAGTAGACGTATTTGGGTTAAGTCTTTTGCGATTCCTTATTTCATTATTATTGACCAGCTGCTGCAATATTCAAATTTTGCAACTTGGTGCTAATAAAACATTTGTATTTTTCACTTTTGCATACTGCATAGGTGTTTGTTGAAGGGTTTGATACTATCTAAAAATTGGTCAGTGATGACAGGCTTGTTTAGTTTAGTTCATTTATTATGCACCCCATACCCATCTTGTGGGCAGTAGTGGAAAGGGTTACAGAGGCACATAATGGGCTCAGGGACAAGGTTACCATTGCTTACCAGGATTTCTTTTTCCAGGGATATTCCTGCATGGGTCTTAAGCCTCTGGCTGGCCCACTAAGTGTTGCTTGTTTCTGTTTTACTTAAGCGAAGTATAAGTATTTATGACTCGTATGGTCACTTCAGTTAAATTTTTGCCAAGTGTGTTTAACAACTTCTACTCTGTTAAATCTAAGTTAAAATCTTATTGGGTTTGTAACTGTGCACTGTGTTAGATAATGTTCCAGTGGTCTGTCGGACCACCAGGAGCTATTCACTAACTCCCAACTGACCTCAATTGGTAACACTCACACATGCAGAGCTTTGAACTATCTTCTGATTACTTATTCTACACGGAAGCCTATTGTCAATGCGGATGCAGCATCTTAGGGATGTATATCACTTAAGACTGAAGGTGTGAAAGCAGCCGTGCCGACTGCACAAAGGAGAATTACATGGATCGAATTTTGAATAGCACAATCATGGTGCCAGGTTCCATACTAATGCTGGTAGTACGTGTTGTACCATAATAAGAGAACTAGAGTTGAAATAAGCCTAACAGACTAACTTACATTATACCCATTTAAATGCAAAATGGCATCTCTGTTGGCCTTTTCTGGTTACTATCACTGCAGAAAAGCATTCTCCTTCTTATTTTTTCTTTTCTTTTATTTTCTTTTCTTTAATTTTCTCTTATTTATTCTTTTTTCCAAGAAATACTGTAATAAGTACAGGTATATAGAAATTTTTACAACTGGGTATGATACATTATAATTTCCCTGTTTCCCCACCTGTATACAGTATCACAATGATACTGTACAAGAATTGGTACCATACCACTGTTTCTTTACAATGACCTCTGGCTATGACCTTTACAGTGTGAGGTCATACTGTAGAAGTTGTTTTCTTTACACTGACCTCTACAGTATGCATATATTATTTTTCCTTGCCAGAACTTTTATTGCCCCATCCACTTTATTTTCTTAACTGATCCTACTCTTAACTTTGAGTGCACAGTTTCCCGTTAAATAAATCGTGCATCTCGGGTGTTTAACATGATTGACTAGTTGTAGCACTTCACTGTTCACATTTATTTTCATCATTTTATTGTTACAAGGAAATGATCATTGGTTAGTGGTAGATTATAGATTCGTGTTTCTCAATATTTAGGACATGCTCAGTGAATAAAACTTGGCAGGTAATCTTAATGCCACATGGTTCGTTCAATGTACTTTTTTTTTTGGAGAGGGGTAAGTCTTAAACAGTGCTGCTAATTAAAATTCACACATTGTGGTGCACATAACAAAGAACAAATTCACAAAATGAATGTTAAACAAAACATGGATGGTGATTCGACCACAAGCGGTAATCGCAGATAGCAGTTGGAACAGTTCAAGGGTTAATACTCCCTATTAGGTGAGATTAGGTTTGGTTGTATAGGTACTGTATTCATTTTGGTTACTGGTGTCTTCCCACAAAAATAACAATTGATTAATTTTTTCTGCTGCACCTCAGGTTATGCCTACACTCCAAGCACGTGTTGACTTGTAGCCTCACCATAACAAGGAACTTTGCAAATTGTCTTGCCACATAATTTAAGGGGTGCAGAGACCATGGAAAGTTTATCTCAGTCCATCACCGAGCAACTGCTTGCTATAAGACCAAAGAACAGAGAATTAGATGCTCACCCCCTACTGAGGATCATTGGGAATGATCAGATAGTCGATTATGCCTCTGCTGCTCTATCCTCTGCGGCACTAACTCTATTACAATAGAGTTGGAGGAGCTGAATACCCCTCATCTTTCACCTGGGGTCCACCCGCTGTGCACCCGGTTCTGTAGAGGCCACTGCAGGTTTCTGTGTTAGGCATAAAAACCCATTATGGCTTCTCTGGGTGTAATCCTCCATTCTGTACATATGCAAGGCATGTTCAATATTCTTTCTTGTGGCCTCTTCAGTTTTTGTTCAGGTGTGACAATGGAAGGTGGACAGGGCCACCTTTCATTTAATATACAGTACTGTATACCATGTTTGCCTGTCTAAGGTGGATCTGCTTGGCAAAGGAGTTGATAAGATTAGGATATAAGCATAGTTTCTGTTGTTTACTGGAAAATTGGGAGGATTTCATGTTTAAGGCATACATTTTGAGACCTTAAATTTTATGAAAACTGAATTACAAATGCATGTAACTATCTACTTTTTATAAGAAACATTTCAGCTAGTTACTAAGAATATTAATCAAAATATCAAATCTTTCAGATTAAACAAGGGGGTGAGGGAAGATGTATTTTACTGTATTTCACTTCATGATTGGTAATATATGTACAATTTTGTGGACTCTTACACAAGTGTGTGTGTGTTTCATTCTCATGGTTCAGTTTTGGCTGAGCAGGACTGGCTACTTATTTGTTGACTGTATTTGTGAAAATAACATTATGTGCGGTATGCATCCATGAGATGAGTAAGCAGTGGAGAGTGAATGACAAATACAAAGCTAGGCTAAATAGTATCTGATGGCAGAATATGGAATAAATTAAAATTAGGAAGACTTTAGACATTTAATAGTACAGTATAAAGCAGGTAACAGTTGTGAAAAAAGAACAGATACTCACTTAGCTACAATATGTAATTAATTAATAGAAGATGTACAAAACAATGGGTTATGTTATTCTTGTGAATGGGAGCATGGAAGTAAATTGGCATACAATGAAGAAAAGATGTAATGTAAATAATTGTTGTGGAGGGTATATATACCTGAGAGCAGAAGGTAATATAATAGATCAAACAACACAGTATATCTTAGCCTTTACCTGTAATGCTCTGATATCCTCTCCTGGAAGGTGTCTAGTTTACCCATCTCATGCCAGTGGGTACAGGGGGTTGTAGTCATGTGTGTGTATCTCTAAAACAATATACTGTAATGAAGAGTGACATGGGTAGTGAGAAGTGTGTGCGTGTGATGTGAACACGAGTGGTCGTCTATCACTTTAAATACCTGGGTTGTGTGATTGATAAGAGTTGGAATTGTTGTAATCAAAGTTGAGTTAAGGGTGAGTTAGGAGAGGAAAGTGGCTGGTACAAAGAAAGCCTTTGGTAGTTGAACCAAATGTATATATATACTGCAGTATATATATATATATATTCAGTACTTTCAGCTTGTAGAGTATTGAGGTCCTTCCAAGGTCAAACTGCTGGCCTTCCCTAGGATACAACCCCACAACAGTTATCTAAATCACAGGTTCCTAGTTACTGCTAGTTGAACAGAGGTATTAGGTAAAAAAAATGCCCATCCATTTTTGTCCCCCCCCTCTGAACCCAGCATCTTTGATTGCGAGTCGAGAATGAAGCCAACTCTACTATGAGACCTAATTTGTACGAACTCCAAAGCGGGTTCTTTATATGCAGTATATTAAAATATTAGGATGGTTACTGTAGGCTTCTAAGATACAGTTTGTTTGAAAGTGGTTGTTCAATATATTATTGAATAGGAGAATTGTACGATGTGTTTGTAAATCTATTTATAAACTATAGTACCCGTGGAGACACATTAGCACATACATAAAGAATGCTGTTTTGCATAAAAGGATGGCACATTAAAAATATTGTCCAGAATTTGTATTTTTTTCACTATAATATGCAAGTGGTATTGTATAATGTAACTTTTATCCGAGAGGAAATAATGCAGTAAATTAGTGTAACGTTTTAGTTGTGTATTGAGAAACTTACCTTACAGGGACGTATTGAGGTGGGGGATGGGTTGTTTGAGGAGCGCTCGTCAACATCGGATGATGACCAAGTGGTATCTTTAATCCATGGAGGGGAAGCACTGGAAAGTGATGAAGAAACCAGTCTATCCATCCTGACCCAAGTTATGCTGCCTTTCCTAGTGGCAGGTCTGGGAATGGTGGGAGCGGGACTGGTGCTTGATCTTGTCCAGGTACTGTACAAACTTTGACATAATTCTTCAGTCTTAATCATTCTCTGATATAATTCTTCAGTCTTAATCATTCCCTGATATAATTCTTCAGTCTTAATCATTCCCTGATATAATTCTTCAGTCTTAATCATTCCCTGATATAATTCTTCAGTCTTAATCATTCCCTGTTATAATTCTTCAGTCTTAATCATTCCCTGATATAATTCTTCAGTCTTAATCATTCCCTGATATAATTCTTCAGTCTTAATCATTCCCTGATATAATTCTTCAGTCTTAGTCATTCCCTGATATAACTCATATGTCTATAATTGTCAATATTGTTACTGCACTTGATATGTATATATATATATGTATAAAAGTGGTAATTCTGTTGCCTGTAGTTAGTGCTGTACTTGAAAATACATGAAAACTGCATCTAAAAAATGGGTGTTGTAGCCAATCAATACAAGCATTGATAATGCTTTTAAACAACAATATTTTTGTAACTAAAACAGAGGCAAGAATTCTTTAACACAGTTGTTACTGATATATTATAATTATTGTATTATCAATGCTTCTTTCTAGCACTGGGATGTGTTTAGAGATGTGAGTGAACTTTTCATAATGGTGCCAGCTCTTCTGGGTTTGAAAGGAAATCTGGAAATGACGTTAGCATCACGGCTCTCCACTCATGCCAATCTCGGCCACCTAGATAAAAGAGAAGACTGTGTGTCAATGATCATTGGGAACATGGCACTTATTCAGGTTTGTAATTCAGGTTTACTATATAGTTGTCTAAGGAAAAGTTACGACAGTGATTATATCATGGAAATGCTGTTGTTTACACCCTTAAGATACGCATATAATGGATAGTTGTCGGTAATAAATATTGCATCTTAAATTGACTAACATATACAGTAAAATAAAACTGGTAAGGAGTAACTTACATTTTATTGTCAAACCCTTCTTATTATCATGTTTTGGAGTATTTTACGTACACAGTAAGTAGTTTCAAAAATTAATTTGATGGCAAAACCTACAATTTTCAACAGTGTCAAGCTATAGTGGTTGGATTTCTGGCATCTGTAGCTGCAGTGGTGATGGGATGGATTCCAGAGGGGCACTTTGATCTGTTGCACGCACTGCTGCTCTGTGCCGCGGCCCTGGTCACTGCGTCTCTTGCCTCGCTAATCTTAAGTAAGATGGACTGTGTGCTGTATATTTGTTTTTATTTATGCAAGTTTTTAAATATTACTGGATTAAAACTAAAGTAACTAATGGTTACAGAAGGATTTCAGTTGTGGTTTTACAGTAGCTATTCTCATCTGTTTGTGGTGATTTCTTTGGAAATCCGTTGGTATTTGTTAATCCAGTCTATTGTGGAACTAGAATATAATCCCATGATATAGTAGGAAAGACAAAGAAGCAAAGTAATTGATCAAGAAGTTTCATGCTGTGGTATCCACAGTATCTACCTAGCAGTAAATAGGTACCTGGGAGTTAGTCAGCTGTCACGGGCTGCTTCCTGGGGGTGGAGGCCTGGTCGAAGACCGGGCCGCGGGGACACTAAAGCCCCGAAATCATCTCAAGATAACCTCAAGATAATCCATTGTGAAAATTCACCAATCAATTTTGTTATGCAATATATTAGTTAACAAGCAATAGAGAGCAATCATTTTTTAAATGTTGCTTGTAAAAAAAAAAGAAATAATTACAATTAACATGGCACAGATGTAAAATGTTTAAAAAATCATCTCAGGACAGGCTAATGATTATTCTATAAACAAAAATGTATGACTTTAATTCTAATGCAAGTCTTTTTTACCATACAATAAAGCAATTATTTATAAACATTTGCATGAAGAATTATGAAATACAGTTAACAGGTGAATAAATGTGAACAAATTATACACATTGTACATAGCCCTACCTACCCTCTCATACCCAGTTCTCTTCAGTTTTTTGAAGATGGGCATGTGCCAAAAATACAGTTGTAATGTAATCATTTTCCTGTAATATATTTGAGAGAAATCATTTGCAAACATTAACATGGAATGAAAATTCTCTGATGTTAAACAGCTGAATAAACGTACAGTATAATGTAATCATGAATAGATGGCGATTCATTGGTTCCCTTAACCCCAGTTTACTTGTGTTTAAGTTGGATATGGTCCACCACCAGATCCCAGAACACAAGTGTTAACAAGCTGATTGTATGTAAACTCTATTCCCCCATCACTTCTTGTTCACCATTCACCCCCTAAACCCCATTTCTTAACACACACCCACAGTCTCTCTCCATCTTTCTTGGCCTTTCTCTCCTGATTGTATGTAAGCTCTATTTCCCCATCACTTCTTGTTCACCATTCACACCCTAATCCCCATTTTTTAACACACACCCACAGTCTCTCTCCACCTTTCTTGGCCTTTCTCTCCAACTTCTCTCAATTACCTGCTCTTCTCAACTTTTCCATCATCGACTGTTCACTCTTAGAATTCACCTTTTTCCACTTTTTGTGAAGTTTTACATCATTTGTATTTATTATTTCTTTAACCCTAAAAGATATTCTTGCTCTATGTCTCTGGCTGGTCAGCTATGTTCCTCATGTCAGTATTACGATAACGTAAGAACTCTTGTACATATATATGTACGGTAAATAAAATAATAATAAAAAAAATCAAACACCCATCCACCACCAGGTGGTGGATGGGTGTTTGACTTGTATGTTGGCTTCAGTACGGCTACATCCAATGTACTCACCTAGTTGTGCTTGTGGGGTTTGAGCTTTGTCTCTTTGGTCTCGCCTCTCGTCTGTCATTTAACTGGTGTACAGATTCTGGAGCCTATTGGACTCTATCAAATCTACATTTGAAACTGTGTATGGAGTCTGCCTCCACCACATCACTGCCTAATGTGTCCTACAACTTGTGCATTCTTCGTCAGGTATGATCATGGTTGGAGTCATTCTTGCATCAAGAAAGTGCAACATTAATCCAGACAATGTTGCTACTCCTATAGCTGCTTCTCTTGGGGACTTAACTACTCTCGGCTTATTGGCTTGGATTGCCTCGGTACTCTACATTTCAAAAGGTAGGGTTTTATATATAGTATTGTAAAGAGTCTATCGTATGAGTATTTGGAATTTGAATGCTTGTCACTGTCCTGCTGATTTGTGATATGAGACATGAAACGATCAGATCCAGTACAGTACCATGTTGTGTGTTCCAAAATAAAATTGAAAAGGTTTTGTTAATGGCTATAAATAATGGATTTAAAACAAAAATTTAATTTTTAAATATTTACTAGATGAGATTTCTTTATATGGTTGGAGTTGCAATATTTACAAATAAAAAGTTTAATTAAAAAGTATAAGCCATGAAAATTTAATTAATAATTTTTTTTTTTTTTTTTTTTTTTTTTTTACTACAGATTCTGATATATGGTTATCCCCATTGATTGTGGTTGGCTACCTGCTCTCCTTACCACTATGGGTGTGGCTCGCTGGTCGCAACAAGCATACCAGGGAGGTTCTCTACTCTGGATGGACTCCTGTCATTTCGGCTATGATGATTTCCAGGTAAAATCATCTTTTAACGGGTTTGGAATATTTTCATATATTACTGTTTGTGGGGAGGTAAGATATTTTTGTCATTATAGTTCATCAATCTTTAACATTTAAAAAACAACGCCAAACTCTATGAAACCTTAGCTACACGCTTGCCAAATTGTCTTACAGGACTTGATGGCAGGAAGTACGGTAATTATTTTTTACCGCATAGTAGTTTAATTTATTGAACATCTTGCACTTCAGTATCTGGTTAATTGTTATTATCTTTGATTACCTTTCTGACTTGGTCTTGTAATTAAAGCTCCAATTTTGCTTTATATTTTAGCATGGGAGGTCTGATTCTAGACTTCACAGTGGCCAACTACAAGGGCATCGCGGTGTTCCAACCTGTGATCAATGGTGTTGGAGGAAACCTAGTGGCGGTGCAGGCTTCCCGTGTGTCCACTGCTCTTCATGCTGCAGCTCCTCTTGGCAAGATGCCCAAGTTTGTGGCCGAGCTGTGCATCAATCCTTGTTCTGCGTTCTGTGCTCGGGGTAATTATGAGAACTTTGTGGTTGCAGGTGGGGCTTTTTAGTCATTTTCAAGTTGCAGGTTTTTTAATACAGTACTGTAGTAGAATATCCTTAAAATGTTCATGAATTCATCCTCAGATACATTTCATATTAAAATATAAATTAAAATTAAACATTAAGTTAGCACTTTCGCTCGGGGATGACGCAGCATTGCGTCATCCGTTTACTGGCGGTAATGCCGGGGATGACGCAGCATTGCGTCATCCACTTTAAAAATTCGCCAAAAATCAGGTTTTTATCCGATTTTTTGGGGACTGGTTTTAAAATGTGCGCCGATGTCTTCCCATTTTCTTTGTTGAGCCTCGTCGCCCTCAGGCTGCTTGGCACACGCCGTGGGCCCATTGTCTTTCCTCCACTGTTGTGACCAATGTCGCTTCCCCTCGCATCTCAAACGTGTGAACATTTCGGCTATTTTCCGTGGCTATATTTCTTACTGCGGCTTTAGAAACTATCTACGCTTACTCCACGGTGGATAGTAATCATGAACAAGGCCCTTCCAGGAAGAAAATTGCGAAAGAAAGGCTTGAAAAGGGTAGGAATTGGGAGTGTAGCAGGAAGGCCTCTGAGCACTCACGGCTAACACGTGGCCCGTCTTCAACTCGTCGGCGGTTGGAGCGTGACCAGGTTTTTTTTTTTTATAGGCTAATGTTCCTCTAGAGAATTTTATTACGAACCCATTGAGACCAAAATGAAAGACCTAGGACAAAAATTGAGGTGACCAGAGTGAAAATAGTGAAAACATTTTATCCCGTTTGCGCGCTCCCGGGTAACTCGTTCGCACTTTCTCTGTTTGCTGCGGGTAATTAGCCGGGCTTTTGGAGTTTATATGCATTTAGTGCTGTAGAGAATTTTATTGCGAACACAATGATACCAAATTTAATCTCGTAGAAGGAGAATTGAGGTGACAAAGTTGAAGAGAGTATACACTTTTCGGAATTAACGCGCGCTTCCGTGACACTCTGGGGCCCATATCGCCCTGTCGAGGGGTGGCGCGCGGGGTGAGCGAAAGTGTTAGATAGCTATCTCCTCTCCATCATTGGTTCCTTATTTATAAATACGTTAACTGCAACATGAATGCAGAATGTTATATGTGCTGTATTTAAAGACAATTCCTCTGATTTTGGATGAACCTATGTACTTGTCATCTGATCTATCTACTCTATATATGAATTCCTTGTTTATCTCTTGGTATGGAAAGGAAAGGAAATTATCAGAATATTGCATTAAGCTAGTTTGACTATATAGCCCCAGTCTTGGAGGATTTTGGGATGGAAAAGCTCCAAGACTTATGCACTTCACTTAGGTAATTACTCCATGGTGTAGTGGCTAGCACCATCACCTGTTCATCTTGCAAGAGAAACTACCTGGGGTCTTGCTCTTGACAGGATGAGATGGCTAAGCACTTTTTTTTTATTATTATTATTATTTTCTACCACAGACGTGGCCACACATTTACAATGCTAACCAGCATATATACATTTTCTTCTGTCCTCCATGGACAGGGCTAGAGATGTGTTAAACATATAGTTCAAGGGTTTATTGAACAATCAACCACAGAAGGTGATTCGGTGCTTTTAAAATGCTAAGCTAACCTACATATGTAAATACATACACAGATTTACGTATGCCCTACATAATCATGGCTAAGCACTATTTTTTTTTCTCCACCAAGCAGTAATTAGGCACAGGGCTCTGTCATGAAGGATTGTTCGTGTTCTAGGAAAAACATGCAGCTAAAATAACCTAATCGGTTTTGTGCCTGACCTATGCAATTAATCCCAAATAACTAGTTCTCCTTGATCATCACTCCCAAGACTTTATTTAATTCATTGTGGCTTAATGCTTTCTTTTGATAATTACTTTTCTTTTGATGCCCTTAACTTCATTTTAAAATGTGCTTCCTCTCTTCTCCTTAGCATTTTAGTCTGTCTATCCTGCCTGCACAGTCACATCTAATACAAATCAGCTGTTAGTTTGTTTAATGTAATATTTGTATTTCACCTTTCAGTGCCGAGTCAGTAATCTAAATTTTTGCATCAATACAGCTGGTCATCCTCGAACTGCAAGAGTTCTCTTACTTCTGGTCGTACCAGGACATTTAGTCTTCATGTACACCATCTCGTACCTTAAGGCTGGACACACGTCCCTCACTCCTATCTTTGTTGTTACGTACCTGCTGGCTGCATTCCTCCAGGTAAGAATCCCCTATTTTGTTTAATTTCTCCTTCAGGCCATGAGTGTGTGGTAATGCTAGTGTAAAGTTTCCTTCCTTTGGGAATCCTATGGCTCCCCATTCTAGGACAAGAAAATGCATCGGTTCCCCCTCCCTCCTCTTGATTATTGTATCATGATAAGTCATTGTTCCATGTGATTGTTGCACTGAGTATATTTTCAGAAAGGCATTTTTGTCACATTTCCAGGTACAACATGTGTAATTTATTAGACTAAAAAGTCAATTTTTGTTTAATTTAGAATAAGGTTCAGTGTAGTCATATTTAATTGCTTTTGTAATTGGTTTTTGCTTGATTGCACATGAATGCATAAAATTATGTTACACAAAATTTAATGCAATTTTTTCTTATATATTTTTCCTTCTTCATATACTTTTTTCAGGTGGCAATCCTACTGTATATTGCACATGTAATGGTGCATTGGATGTGGAAAATGTCCATTGATCCAGACAACTCTGCCATTCCATACTTGACTGCCCTCGGAGATCTCCTTGGAACAGGCCTCCTAGCCATAGCTTTCCACTTCCTCTACCTGGTTGGTGATGGAGATGCCGATCTTGGCGACTAACATTGGGATGCATTGTTGGGGATTATTTATCACATAGGTATTTGTAAATGTTCATTATATGTATTTTTATTGTATTTTGTGACAGTTTACAATATATGGCAAATCTACAGTGATGAAAATTTTGTGAAGAATATTCAAAACTTTTATAAACAAGGTGCTACTTTTTTTAAGCTTACTGAGGCTGGTAGTAAGGAAGTATGAGACTGGAGTCTATATGATACACTTCAGGAAGAATTTGTTCAAGTTTTTCATTCGCAAATCTTGAAAATTCTTGATATCGTACTGTTTGTACTTATTTATTTTTCTAACTTAAATGAATTGTTCTTGTCGAAGCAAACAGTTTGCTAATTAAAATTGTGCATCTTCGTTTTATGATAATTACTTTATAATGCAAAATATGTTTTTAAGATTTATTTAAATTTTATTTCCCCCACTTCGTTTGAGATATAATGATAGCAACAGGTAGCCTTATTGCTCTATGTTGTCATGTCATAAATACACACACACACGCGCGCGAGTATTTTGTGTTATTTTATCCCGAAGAAGTTGTACCTCAGGCTTTAGTGTTCCCGCAGGGTTGAGGTTCAGTCTCGTGCATGCGTACCATGAGGAGAGGTGAGAGTGTAATGCAACTGTATGTAGTATATGTACAAATGAGTGTGACTGCGGGCACGGATGAGGATAGATAAGGTTGTAACCGTCTCATGTGTGTACACGTGGCTACAACTGTATTCGCACATACGACTGAGGATAAATAAGGTTGTAACTCTGTTTGTGGACAAGTGGTTGTAACTGCATGTAAACACACAATATTTTCTAGCCATTAATGTATTTTTCTTCCTAAATGTATATCAGAGCATAGCCATATTGTCAGTTTTCCCAGCAAGCTTGGCATACTATGGCTATAAGATTTTAGAGAAAAGTTTGTACTTAACTGATAACCTAAGTATTTATCATTTTACAAACCATTACATCATCTTAAATGGTAATTTACATGTAAAATCATTCATATTGACTTCATTTGATGATTTGAAGTATATCTGTGATAATATTACCTAATACTGGTGCAGTACTTGAAGTGCAATATTGTTATGTAATAACATTTTCCCAGTAATTTGTGAAGAAATTCAATTTATATATTTTTATCAAGAAAATTTATACTAATGGTAAAGAGCATACTAATAATGGCAATAAATTTCTCAATCATTTTTCATCCCATAAATCTACTAACACATTTCTGATTAGCTAAAGCACTCAAGACAAATGTAGAAATACATAGGAAAGTATAGCTCATACATACAGTCTAGGGCCAGTGTTTTTTGAATTGATAGTAGCATATTTAGAGAGATAAGTGTATTGTAAATTCAGTGTATGGTTGTATGGAAAAGATGTAATATTACACAGCAGAGAAACATACACTGTAGCACATACAAAATCAAAAGTTTATAGGTGCCCTAAAAAAAAGGATACAGTACTGTAGTTTCAAAGTTAACATGCAATAAATTCCATACTTATTAGCTATTAAAGCCAGATTTTTGAGAACTAGTTTTAGTAAAAAACTTTAATAAAACTTTAGTAAAAAAACAAAATATATATAGATACAAAATGACATTAGTTCATGTAGTAATATGGTAATACAGTACTGGTCAATACATAGACAAACTACTGTAGTTCACGTTCCTCGTGCGACGTCATAATTAATATCACCATTTGTATCCCTGGGTTTATACTAACTTCGTACAGGAGTGTATTAAACCTGAAGCACTGAGTAGTTATATTTTTCTATGTTGGTTGCATGACTTTGACATTTACTTATTTTATAATAGCATAAATGAGATCATTGTCACGTTTTGGGTCCTTAGACGAACAAGCTACATTATTTATTTTCTGCAAAACTGTTTTACGTATGTAGCATTATCTAAATATTTATCAAATTTAAGAGTAACATCTGCCAATTTTATAAGTTACATTTAAGAGTATTACATTAGATACAGCACATATTTGCACAATAATCCTTCTCATTAATTCCAACTTCTCAACTACTATTGAACTAAAGGTCTGGCGTTCATTAGCTACATAATCTTTTCGCCTTAAAATTCTCTCTTTGGTTTAACTAGAATTTATCTTTTCACTGTAATTTAACCCTTTTATAAGTTATTTCTGCCAATTCAGTCATTTCTGTATTGTTTCCACTTGTTAATTTTATTGCATTTGGTGTGCTGACTATTAAATTTTGTAGGTTCTCCATCAACTATGTCTCGGCACAATGCATTAACACAGATTATGCAGCTCTCTCCAAGTGTATGTTTATATATTAGATTAGGTTGAATTAATTCAAATAACCCTTTTTTGTATATTTTTATCCCATTGCCCTTTTTAATCTCGTTAAAAAATCTTTTGATCATGACAGTACGTAGTTAAGATTTTGTTGATTCATTTTGAGCTGTGCTCTTGCATCTTTAATATTTATAAATCATATGTATCATATGCACTTTTTATTGTAGTAAGGCTAAAGCAAAAAATGCTATTAATGCATTTCATTCATTTTGTTATAATTCAAGCATAATAGCTTAGGGTATTTTTATTGTGTACAGTGCCTAGTTTAACTGTTGGAATTGTATGGAGAGAATCAAATTTGACATAAGCTGGTACGAGGTAATTAAAAGTAAAAACAATTATCTTCCCAACTGCATCTAACAGTGCAGTATACTGTACCTGATGGAATGAACTGAAAATTTAGATTTTGGGTTCAAATCCCGAGGCGGGACACAAATGGTTAACCACATTTCCCAACACCTAATGTACCTGTTCACCTCGCAGTAAATAAGTACCCAGGAGTTCAGTCAGCTTATTGTGGGGTTACATCCTGGGGAGGGTCAGTAGTTCGACCTTGGGAGATCTCAATATAAGCCTAACATGTATGTATATACACAAGCTGCCTGTCCCAGAGAAAATTCATTATTAACACAAAATTATAATATGTTGCCCCATTGAATAGAAATGTATCTAGTTGGCTTCTTTATCCCCCAAGTATTTCAGAGGTTCATTTCCAATTTCGGCTTTTTCTTTGGTACACAAAGTTGCCACGAGTTGACCAAGTTATGGTGAATTGTAATTTTCACAATAGCTGATTTAAAATATAGTACTGTATACAGAATAGACTTGGTAGTCAGTCAAAGTATCCATAATTATTTTGACAGATATGTCGTAAAAGCAGAATCTCTCCTCACATTTCCTACATGCTGTAAGGATTATTCTACTCAATATTTCAGTTTTATTATGCTGTCAATTTAAAAAAAATTCCTCCTTCTTTTTTTACTTGGTATAGTTCATCAGTTAACAGGATATATCATAAACAGTACAGAACTTCTAATTTTTGTCTCCAAATGCCCTTAGTTTCCTTCAATAAGAAGCTTTGAATGGCCCATAGGTTCCATCGCATGGCCGTGAGTTTTCCATCATCCTTCATCTTGATTCACAGTAACCTTCCAATGAAAGCGCTTTTCCTTATAAATTCCTATTCACCTCATTCTAATACATTCCTAGTCACTTGAGTTACACACAATTCATAATATTCATATTTGTTTTATTTATATGTCCGTCCATTGTTTGTCCCGCTAAACAGTTAATGAGTTTGTTTGTTATTTTTTTAAATGCTTTATTTGATCTTACCCAGAGTTGCTGCTTAGTATGGTGGCTCTCAACTTGTCACATCATATTATTGATAGAGATCTGCAACTGTATCTAAGCTGTAATTCTGAATTTTCCAACATCGGCATTCAGGCACATGGGCACAAAAATTACCTGGGTTTATACTGTAATAGTATCCACTCGTAGGGAGCACCGCCACTTTCATTATTCATTTCCAGTTTATTTCCAGTTTTTCTGGGAATATGGTCTCGTGTACGCGCGCGCGCACACACACACACACACACACAGGCCTTGCGGCTGAGTGGACAGCGCTCGAGGGATGTAGTCCAAATGGCCCAAGTTCAATTCCCGGTGGAGGTGGAAACACATGGGCAGAGTTTCTTTCACCATGATGCCTCTGTCCACCTAGCAGTAAATAGGTACCTGGGAGTTAGACAGCTACTATGTGCTGCTTCCTGGGGATGTGTGTGTGTTAGAGAGAAATATATGTAGTAGACATAATACAGGAAAAATAGATTGGCTAGAAAGGCAGGGTCCATGAGCTAAATAGCCCAATTCTATAGACACAAATAGTAAATACTCCCCCCCCCCCATCAGTAGTTTCAAAGCATCATATGACAAAGTTTACTGGGAAGATGGGACACCAAGAGTGTAACTCTCATTCTGAAACTACACTTGGGAAGTTACATGAGGTAATTACACACCTGTAAATACTGTATATAGTCCAAGGAATTCCTTGATCACATCTTCACTTACAAATTTAATACAGGCACATTGACATACTGTTTGTGCTACCACGTTGGAAGACTAAAAGATATATGATCTGTTGGAACGACATAGATCTGCAAATGCATACCAATTTAGTGAAAGTCATTGGAGCAGTATGGAGTAACCATGCGTCACCCCAGGCATGCGTCTGGGGTGACCCATCCTGGGTCACCCCAGGATGATGCGTCTGGGGTGACCCATCCTGGGTCACCCCAGGATGATGCGTCTGGGATGACCCAGGACACTGGTTCTGTCCTCGTCCTGTTTCAGTGATTTTCGTAAAGGTACATCACACTGTTGTAATTTCCTAGGGAACCACTTTAGTGTTTTCTTTAGCATGATGTTCTGCATACATAAACCATATTCTTTTTTTTTTTTTATCATCATATTCCTCTTTGATTTCCTTCACTTTTAGTTTACTGTATATTTTTTAATTTTATTACCCAATTTGTTCATATTTGCATATACTAATGTGTATGTAGAGTGCAAAACGTTTGGAAGAATTGGCTAATACAGTAATTTCTCCTACACCATGTTAGAGATCTTCAAAATTCTGCATTCTGTCTTGGCCACTCTCATAGTGGTGTTCAAAACTTTCATGACCTTTTTGTTTTCCCCACATCATTTAGCACTTGATCCTCCTACTTAACACACATCTGACATATGTTATTTGTGTTTGTGTCTAGTTTCTTTGTATTTGTCTTTTATTTAACATTCTCAGTACAATAATTAGTGGTGTGAACATGACTAAAAGTAAAAAATACCAAAAAAATCAATAAAAATAAATTAGTTTTAAACTAAAATTAACAAGATAATTTATTGTGTATATAATATAATATTCCATCCAAGTAGATCTCAGATTTATAATTGAGCAAAAGCATAAATTTTGTAACATACTTGCCTAGCTGGTGTAAAGGGTAAATGAAACATTGACTGGGAGAGTAGTGGAGGTGATGATGAGGGAAGAAAGGAGTCAGCAGACAGTTACTGCCCATAGAACCAGTCCTTCTGCATCCTCCAGTTGACATTCTTCCACAAGGCAAAAATAAATATTGTACTACCAATGCAATGTCAAAGACACAGACTTCAGTATAATGGGAATGTTAAAATGCCGGAAAATGTTTTGCTGGAGCAATCAATATTTCAAAGTTCTGAACGGGAACCAGAATTTTTAGATGTTGGTTCCATTAGCAAAATCCTTTTGGATTTTTAAGGTTTGCATTATATTGTTGTCTAGATTTTTTAGGTTTCACTAGTGTAGTAAAATTTGAGACTGCTTAATGTTAGAATTCACTTAGAAATGCTCTGTGGCTGTATCAGCGATATCAGTACTGTAGATTTTTTTTTTTTATTAATTTTTTTTAAATGTACAGTAATTCATACAGATTTGCAATGTTCGTGTTCCTTGCAATTTGTTACATCATATTTAGTTACATAATGGTCTGTTGGATACCAAAAACATTAATAGTACAATACTACAGATAAAAATGACATGAAAATGAATTATGTTTTGTTGATAACACCAAGGTTGTGTTCCCCCTCTTAATAAGAAACGAGTGGAATGTTTAAAAAAGAATTACTTGTATTGTTTTGAACATTGAGAAATTTTAATGTTTAATATGCACAATCATGCACACACTGTTTTTATTTTTGGTTCACAAGTTCATGAGGTAATATTTTCATACGTGACTTTTTATAAAGCAGTAAAAACTCAGACTAAGCATTAAAATATTAGCAGTGGATAGTTGAAGAAAAAATATAACCATTTTATTATAGTACAATGGAGTATTGCAGTTTTCTGTTGTCCCATGTGGTCTTGGTCTGTACCAGTACTGTACAGGGATTTAGATTTGTGAATTATGTAACTGTAGGGTTTGTTTTTATTGGATAAATTTTTGTACATTGTAAAATATTTTTTTAATATATTTTTTTATAATTGCTATTCTGCTATCCGTATATATCTCCAAAGTTCATCTGCATGTGATAGTTGTACATCTTAAATACCTCAAGAGAGAGTTATAGAAGCTGGTTTTGAAATAATTACAAGTGTCTAGTGCCTTGTCAGCCGTTCTTTACTTCCATGATGACTTCAAGCAGTTGGTAAGGAGGGATACATGTATGGTAAGATGTGATATATGTATGGTAAGATGTGATACATGTATGAAGATTGGTGTTTACTAAATTTGCTAGAAATGTAAATAATTAATAAATAAAGCTCACATTGTTATAATAATGTTTTAGTAGCCCTGATTATAAGTATGAAGTGTAATTTTATATTTTAGAATTACAAATCAAAATGCAGCCAAGCGAGCTGTGTGAAATGACAATCCTTTGTGTACAGATGCAAAACAACAGTGCGGTACGAATGTGGTAAGTTACGGATTAGTGTATAAATGAACAATGTGAGACGAATGCTTGGTATTAGAAAATAAGCAATTATCAAAAGAAGGAGCCAGGCTGAGAAGACTATGTAACACAGGTGTTAGAAAATAATAAGGAACAGCAATGTAATTAAGAAATGTGAATATTAAAGTTGATTAGCCACAAAATTGCATATTGAAATTTTCTTGGCCATGTTGAACGAATGGATGATGATAAACTGGTGAGAGTATAGGCAAAGTTAATTTAAGGGTAAGAGCAGAGGATAATTAGATGGGTGGATATTATGAATAAGAGAGAGAAAGCATGCATTTAGTGTACACACAACGCGATACGGCGAGGAATTAGTCTCGTTGGAAGTTGTTTGTAAGGAGGGAGTGAATGTATTTGTACTATGTATGACCATGCACAAGACCTTTCATTTTATTCCATTTTTCTCCCATCTTATACTTCCCCAATCCACAAAAGTGAGAAAATGATGTTATAATGAATGAGTAATTACCTAATGCAGATTGAAATGCTCTAAATAACAAATGGTTTCATTGCTGGGCTTTGGGCATGAATCCCACAAAAAATGAATTGCTAAATACAGTACTAATAAAAATAAAATATTCCTGCCAAAATGTTATACTGCAGATTGCATATAATTTCTTCAAAAGAAGTGCATGCATAATTCTTGTATTATTTTATATTATTATATATTATTATAAGAAGCAACCACTATATATTTGTCCCAGCTTGGTGCCTTCTTTGATAATTAATTATTTTATATATTTTAAGAGGATGACACACCATGAAGAATAGAGACTGTGCCCAGCCCTACTCAAACATATTATAGTTATAAATATGAGTATTTATACCCGCAACTTGCATCAAACTTTTTGTAGACTGATCTGCACCCATAAAAACTAGTTTTTGATGATTGTCGTATTTTCCTAGTGTGCTTGTGTATAGTTAGTCAGTTCCTGGATTTGTTGCATGTACTTCTATCCCATAATTCCTGCCAGAATTAATTGAACTGGAAGGAGAGCTATATCAACAAATACAAGTAAATGTCAGGTGTTTCATAAAAAACTAGAACAATTAATCCGAACACATTGGCCAGTGAAGTAATGACCAAAGTAACCTTTAATCTTTATGGACCTTGAAGCGAGTCTGACAATGGGATTGCACAGGTGACAGCCAATAGTGATATAATTGATTGCCAGTCTTCTATCTCGAGCGTATTTCTCAATGGTGGCTATTTATTATTATTAGTATTATTATGGCATATTAAAGAAACAAATTTTTATTGAATACACACACCCACACACCCTGCGTGCAAGGACAGCGAACCTTAAACCTAGACAAGAATATTCTGAGTCTCCCTGTTATGTTTGTTTCACATACTTTTGCCAATTTTTGGTAAAAATTATTAAAGTTTATAGTTATGGGTACTGCCTGAAGGGCTTTATGGTTTTGAAGTGATGGCTAACAGTCTTGTAAGTCAATTTAAACTACATCGAGAGTTTAATACATTGGGTGTTACAGCATTTATTTAAGGTGGGGGAGTTTAGTGCATCTTTAATGGTATCAAATACAAATCAGTGGGTGAGAGTAAATGCCAGTTGTTGCATTGAGGAGCAATTTAGGTTTATAGGTAGAGATTTGTATGTGTATAAGTTTCATCATATTCTAATACATAGTGAAGAACAACAGTGTTTGAGAGCTTCAGGCGGCTCACATACCATGTGTACTTGTTCCCTAGCCTCAATCTAGCCACAATGACCTTCTGCTCTCATTACTGTATTTAACCCCGGATGTTATTGGGGCCCGTCAGTTTGTCGTAGTGATTTGTTGTCCTACATTGCACAAGAGGAGTTAGCTCCTAACAGTGTTTTTCGATGGTGCCTCACTGGGCTTCTGTGGATTGATCTGTCCATAGTTTCGAGTCTCTTCTCACTGTTCAATATATCATGAACAGATAATTTAGATGTTCGACTCCGGCTTTCTAAGCCACTTCCCTGTCATTTCAAACACAGCCTAGCATTATTTTACTTTAATATAGCAAATAAACTTTAACATTTCCTTAGAAAACTCAATCATACTCGTAAACTTGATTTCATAAATGTTTTATGAAATCCCATCAGCCTATCCTCTTGATAAATTACATGTTTGCTTGGATTTCAGTAAGATTCTCAATATTGAAGAGTTTTTTTCTCTACCTTCTATTTGAATATCTTTCAATAAGATAGATAGATATTTATAATCCTAATGTTACGTTCATTCTATTCCTGTTTTCTGAGTTGCTTTTACTCTTGCAAGTTTTCCAGATTCGTCTGGATTTCATTTAAACTGTACTTATTTTCCGACTTGCTCAATATACACGCTGCCATATTCAAACTTCTTCCTTATTTCGTTCAATAATACCTCGTCCGCAAGTGCTTCGTTAACAATGTCATCTACAATGGTATCAAATAAACATGGGAAGGATTTAAAGTTGTCAAAACTGGAACCCCTGAGTCCCATACCAAGCTGTGAAGAGCCTCGTGCTTACTGCAGTAAGTGGCATTCACCTGTCAACAGCTTCTCAAGCCTTCCTTATCGGGAGTGGTGGAAAGACGTATCCTTGACATACAGGGCCAAGCTGGTTGGCAAGACCACAGTCAACTTAAGTCATCAAGACCACACCCAACTTTGGCAAGACTATGAGTTCAGTACAAGTGAGACCTACTGCTGAAAAAGGCGAGCTGTAACTACATTTTCGGTGAACCGAGGCGCAATTCAGTGAGTACTCAACTGCTTATTGTAATATTTTTCTAATTTCCAACATACTGCGGGTTTCCTCAATAGGTTAGCGGGCTTAACCATGGCCAAGTAACGTTTATAACCAACGTAGGATTGAAAGTATCAATGCTGATTATATCAACGTCCTTTTCCCAGCTTTGACCAGGGGTGGTTCGGGGGGTATAACCGCTGTATTATCCTACATGTGCGCCTTGTTTGATTTTCAACGCTATATTAATTACCATATTCTCGTTGGAGCAACTAGCCAATACAAAATTATCGCCTCCACAAATTCACCAGTTCAACTCTATCACCCTTTTTTGAGGGGGGGGTGGGTTTCTTAGTATAATCCCAAGGTCTCATTCTACCTATTTTTTTTTAATTTTGGCTTCATTGATACTCTAATTTATGCATATATTATTTTGTTTTACTTGCATAAAATTATCGAGATGTATTCGAGGGTTTTAAAGCTGAAGCTTTTCTATAATTTGGAGATTTTCTTGCTAATTCGAGTTTCAGTTTATTCTTTGGCTGCTGATTTTCATTTTTCTACGAGGTCATACAGACATCAAGGGTCAACTGTATGTATTTCGTCTAGCACAGAAAGCTATATAGTCTGGACCAACGATTTTCGGCAATCTGTGCCAATTGGGTGACGAAATTACAGCTTAATGTTTCTTGATTGAATGATTGGACAGGAGTCAATCCCAAGGCTAAGCACTGGCGTTTCTTGAAATATTCCTCTTCAGATTGCTATCTAATTCTATTACTGTCATTGTGTTCCTTCCTCCGTATAAATACTTTGACTATTTTTTTACGTTATTCAAACTCGTTTAAAATTGTCTGACTACTATATCCGACATTTTCCATCTTAAACCATCTAAGATTTATTTAGGTAGACAGATTTATTTAGGTAGACTGTCTACCTAAATGTATCTTTCTACTCTCATATATACGATCTAGACTCTAGAGGGAAAGTAATCATTTCTTCATTCAGCTACTCTAGATCACTATCCAAATAAAAAATCGTTTGCCTGATGGCCACCATCTTCATTAATGTGACGCTGCTGGGAAAGTGAGCAGGTGGAGAGGCTTTCCCAATAGAGCCATAATGAGTAGAGAAAGGCTGCCCCATATAGAGCCAGATGAGGAAGAAAAAGCTGCTCTGTATAGAGCCAGAATGGGGAGGAAGAAAAGGCTGCCCCGTATAGTTTAATAAGATTTCTCTCAGTGGAAATCTGACGTGACGGTGAGGCCCCAGACAAGGTGCGCGTGACTAAGCAATGATTATTTTTTTTAGATGAGCGGTGGCGAAAGTTAGTTTAGTTCATTTATTATGCACCCAATACCCATCATGTGGGCGGTAGTGGAAACGGTTACAGAAGCACATAATGGGCTCAGGAACTGAAGCCCACAATTCATTTAGCTAAGCAAGTTACAATTAATCTTGATGAGGTAGTTACAAAATTCAATGCCCATATGGGCCTTCATGCCCACTGTACCATGGTCGAGGGTCGCTGAGATCCCATTGGATTGGATGGGTTTGTTCTGTGGATGATGTTTATTTGCTATATTCAGACTATTTTAAGGTAACAAACACTGTTGAGGCTCAGCAGGATTCAAAAAGCATTTACACAACTTTTTATGCACAGCTTTTCTCAATCATAGCGGCTTTGTTTACAGTTGTTAAACTGTTTGTGAGCTTCTAGGAGGCTTGTAAACAATTTTCTAGAAGCACTAGGAGGCTGTTTACAACAATAATAACATTTGACTGAGAAGTTTGAATGCTTGTAAACTGTTTAATAAATGTAAACAAAGCCGCCAAAGATCGAGAAAAGATGTACATGTTTGTAAGTAGATGCGGAAATGCTTGTTGGACAAGGGAAAATTGGACTCTATACTAGTATTGCCTCACTAGATGAATCTCGCTACAGCCTAACACAAAGCAGAAAGACAGAGGCTTCTTTTATATTTGTCCCATAATTTTGCAAATCCTGCTGGTCGCCCAGACTTGGATTACAGTGCGCCCTTGGATTGAAAGTACATCAGTGCAGCCAGGTGTTGTTTCTAGGTTGTGTTTCCAAC